CTTTTTGAGGCAAGGAGGGTCCATGGTGGTCCAAGGGCAAGTTACCTTCTCCTCTGTCCCCAGTTCCATCTTCCTTGGCAATTGGGAAAGGCAAGCTATCAGGAGAAGATCAGCAGTAATTAAAAAGACAAGCTCTGAAGCTGAATAATAAAATTGGTTTCAATCCTATGACTGTCACTCACTAGCTATGAGAAAATGGGCATATTGGTCTATCTCACCAAGCTTTAAATTTCTCAGCTGTCAAATGACTTACCTACTTAGCCTATATTCTTTCAGTTTCAAGTGACTGACAGCTCTCTGATTTCAAAAGGGGAAAATTTATTGGCTGACATAACCAAATAATTAAAAGGGCAGGGCTACACAAGGCCTTAGCAAGATTAGATCCAGGGTTTCAATTGCCACTAGGATTATCTGACTCTCTCACTCTCTAGGTGTTTTACCTTCATTTGCCTTTATGCTGCCTTCACTCTCTCAGACCGGCCTCTTCCACATTGCCTCTGAACATGTTCTAGCTCTGCTATTGCCTGAATGTGTCCCCCAGAATTCACATGCTGAAACTTCATCACCAATGTGATAGCAATAAGAGGTGGGGCCTTTAGGAGGTAATAGTCATGAGGATAGAGAGCTCATGAATGAATCAGCAATCTTATAAAAGAGGTTGAAGGGAGTGCCCTTTTGTCATATTTGCTCTTCCGCCATGTCAGGACACGATGTTCACCCTTCTGTCATGTGAGGATGAGGACGCAGCAACAAGGCACCATCTTGGAAGCAGAGCTCCCTCATCAGATACCGAATCTGCAGGCACTGTGATCCTGGACTTCTCGGACTCCAAAACTGTGAGAAATCAATTTCCTCTGTTTATAAATTTCCCTAAGTGGATGGTTATTTTTAAGGTGCTTTCTCTATCATTTTCTTTGCTATACTTAAAACAGGGCTTTCTGTTTAAATCTTTCTATGAATGCTTAGCATGACATATTTGCATGCCCTGCATTACCTATCAGATAAAAATCTTCCAGAGAGCAAAGTACAGACACAGCGTTTGCATCACGTTATTGCTGTTTCCGTAGTATCAACCAGGAAGGGCCAAATGACATAGAAATGAAGGTCAAGAAGTTACCCTGGAAAAAGAAGTTATAATGACAGTTTTTTCTACCGTACATCAGACCAGAAATAAGCTTTCTCAGTGGCCAGTAAAAGAAACTAAAAACTATGTCCAAGAAATAAGCCTGCTCAGAACACAGTGCTTCTTCGAGCTGCTGGTATTTCTTTAGTCCAACTGGAACAATCAATCGTACACAGAATACACTAAACAACAAAACCATAAACTCTACTGTGTATGCTAGAGGTTTGTAGCACAGGAAGAAAGCATATTACTCAAGAAAAAATACAAGTCAGATAAGCAAGTAGAAGGGCTATGTTCCCTCTTCTTCACGTTTTTCTGTACTGCTCACACAAAAAAAGAGTAGCCCTTTCAAATGATATTGACAGAGCTGCACTATGCTTCAACCATGTAGAGGCATCCTGAGATTATGAACAGGGAACAGAAGCTGAGCTGGGCTTCTGAAGTACTTAGAAAACCTCACTCTGTAAGAAGTGTCACTTAAAAAGCACTTAATTTCTCTGAAGTACCATCTCAACAAGTACCAGTTTGATGGGTTATTCTGAACTATTTTTCTATAGTCCTACAGAAAGGAGGTGTCCCTTGGCAGTCTTAAGAGATACATACATGCAAGAGAGATTCTTAATTCCCCGTGGCAGGCATTTTAAAAAGCCAAAGGCGCACCAGTCTGAGCTAGAGGCTTCTTGGTATAGCTCTCAATTTGAAAAATGAACGTCCCCAGGAGATTAATAATTCAATATCCTATACCATCACTCTGCTTTCACCAAAAATAGAACAAGAAAAAATAGGTTTCAAATGCAGCAGGAAGGATTAGTGTACTGAAAAGAAATTTTTCTTAGGGATATAAGATAGAGAAAGTAAATGCTGGAGGGGAAATTCGAGTGTTTTGTGAGAGGAGGAACTCTCTCCCTAATAAATTGTGAAACACAAATTTTTTCCCTCTAAATTTGTTACCTTGTTTCTAAATACATATAAACAAATTACATTTTATATATGTGTTTGCATCTTTTGTTCTGAAAATAAGTAAAATATAAACATTTTATGTGTTTAAAATGATTCCTGTCTACCCTAAATCATCTACTGTCTGTAGGACGCAGTTCTCTAGCACTGTTTTGTTTTGCTTTTGTTGTTGTTGTTTTTGAGACAGGGTCTCACTCTGTTGCCCAGGCATGAGGGCAGTGGTGCGATCACAGTTTGCTGCAACCTCAAACTCCTGAGTCAAGTGATCCTCCTGCCTCAGCCTCCTGAGTATCTGGGACTACAGGGTGTGCACCACTACGCCCTGCTAATTTTTCTTATTTTTTGTAGAGACGGGTCTCACTATGTTGCTCAGGCTGGTCTTGAACTCCTGACCACAAGTGATGCCCCTGCTTTGGCCTCCCAAAGTGCTAAAATTACAGGCATGAGCCACTACACCCGACCTCTAGCACTGTTTAAGAAAAGAAACCATCAATCTGGTAATTGTTTGGATAAAGTCTTCTATGTAGGAAGGAGATAAACTGAATATCCTCAAAAGACTCGCTACACTTGATCTTAGCCAAAAGGCTGAGAAGTGATAAAAAAATTCTTCTAACTCCTCAATTCTCTGGGTCCAATAACAGTGAACAAACAAAGATCTGCTACTGAGCTCAATTCCTCTGCATCACTGTGACTTTCATCTCTTTGTCTCTAAAACTTAGAACAGTTCCCAGAATACAGAGAGTCATCAGTGAGTGTTTGTGGAGTTATTAGTCATCTGACAGATTCCAACTCAGAGCAGAAAGAGAAGACTTCATGAACCAAGCACTCTGTAAAGGGGTCCCACTTACTGCATTAGGAGATCACAGGATTTGTCTACATATGTTATTCTTAGGATCTTACAAGAATTGCAGGGAGATGCCAGATTTCCTCAAGTTATGAATTATGATATCCAGCTGATCTTTGCTGAATGGGCTGCTGAGGTCAGTGAACACTTCAATATGCCTCTTCTCAAATTTCTTTCCTCTAAAAGAAAGAGTTATCACATTAAGAAATCATTCTCCTGAATTATTTTCTAAAAATTCAAATACATTTTGTCACCGAGTGGAAAGAGGCTAAGGAATGAATCTAGATACAGTTAATAAATGTGATTACATCCTAGAAGTATGTGTATTGTTGATAGTTAAATTCTTATTAAACACATTATCAACCCTGGTATACCTTATACTTTGAATATCTTGGGCTAAATTTCTCAGCATTATAGAAATATTATGTCTCTGAATTCCTAACTCTAACTCAGCTCAAAGATGTGGTCACTGTGATTAAAAAAGATCCCTTTCCAGCCTCCATATAGGCAGAATGTAAACAAGGAATTTCCCCAGTGTACTATAACTTCAGAATTGCATTTAATTGATATTCACTTTTCAAACACCTTATTCTGATTCCACGAACAGCACTAGTGGTAGAATTTTGCAGAGGATGTACAAAGATTGAGAAATGATACTACAGATTTAGGCCTGGGATTTTAGCGCATATATTTTTCCTAACAGGCAAGGCGGGGGGTGATGTATTCAAAGACACACATTTTTAAGGCACAGTGATTTAATAATGAATTACGAAGTTGGCCAGAGTTACTATGCACTTAATATCAACTACATATGGGTTATACCACTTAGCATCTTAAAAAATTCCTGGTGATCAGCTTAAGTCAAATAGGAAGGGAACTGAAATAAGCCAAACATTTATTTCTCCCAGAGAAATTCCTACCAAGTATAGCTCTTGCTCTTTCAAAACTTTAAAAAAAAAGAGAGAGAGGTTGAACTGAACCATTGAATTCTGTCAAATGTTTCTTTAGCCACACAAACATGCTGCTTGATTTAATAATGAATCACACAGTACACTGAATACACAACCCACACAATTTTTGTAGAAAGGCTCATTTCCAACTCTTCAGTTGAGATACTTACACAGTTTCACGTTGAATCACATCCATGCACACAATCAGTGCATCCAGGACTCAGCTAGTTAAGGGCAGAGATACAACCAAACAGTTCCTTCTTCCCATGCACATGTAACTTTTTTCCAGCTAAGTCCACAGTGATGGAAACTGTTGACAATGGACTATGTGATGACTTACGTACTTGCCCAAGTGGCAGTTTATGTCATTAACATATATTCACATTTGCTGTATATCAAAATATATATCCTGACACATACAACTAAAAAAAAGAAAATAAACATGAGGCAATCTAACACATTTCATTCATTCAACCAAAAATTACAATGATATTTAACAGTATCTAGAACCCATTTCTGGTGATTACAGTCCATTCTTAAACATGAAGTGAGCCATAAGGTAGCACTTGCACGTCGGTCCCAGCACAACAGCACCTCCCAGTGACCAAGGACGGCACCACTTGTTTAGAAAAATAACAAGAGTAACCCCTTAAACTTAGGGCACCTGTGGAAGAAATTGGAAATCTCACAGTTTGAATATCAGTCTGATTTCTGATATAAAAACATCCTCTATCCAGAAAAGGGTGGAGAATGCTAATGCCCATACTCCCCTAAAAATATCTTTTCTCTACCTCCAAACATTTCTAACCAGCACCACCTCTGCATATAGTCAATACACCCATATACTCCCTAATATCTTCCTCTTCCTGTGCCTCCCAACCTCTCAATGCCACTAATGCAGAGAAGAGACATGTGATGAAAGTGCCTGGAGCCCAGGCACCCAACCTGATTAATTGCTCATTAAATCCTAATACATATCTCCTCCCCATCCTCAGAGCAAAAGATAACCACATACTCAGAGCTGGGACTCTGGGGATGTCTCACCAAACTGGAGAGATTAAAGGAATCTGTGATTCCCAGGTTAAAGGAAATTTCTTAAAAGTCTTCTTTGGCTGCAAAAGGATACAATCAGCTTGTTGAGAACCTGGTTGGATTTTGCTTTCAATGTCCTCCAGCAAATCAAAATCTGGCAGCATCAGGTGTCTGTGCACTGTGATGTTCTGATACTGATCCCCAGCAGCAAGGGCATTCTTAGTGCCATCTGTACCAAACAGGACTAATGCAATCTCATCTTTGCTCTCAGCAAACACCTAGAGAAGAACGTCAGAAGGCTGAAAACTATATTAGAACAAACTGCAAGCAATAAAATACTTAACCTTGAGGAAACAGGACAATCATATTACCCTATGGCAGGTCCCTGGGGCCACAGAATACTGGGCTCGATGAAACACAGGACTATGGACAATGAAAATCCTAGGTTCTAAGCAGACATTTTCATTGACTATAATTCACACCTTTCATTTCAGCACGAGTTGGGGTGAGGGAACAAGAGCGTAATATTAATAACTGCTCCTGATGACTTCCAGCCAAATCAGACTCTAATTCTCAATGATAACTAACTATGAGTAATTTGAAAAGATTTTAGTCTTTCTGGAATGTCTATCCAAGGTTTAAATTTTCTGGAGAGTAACAAAAAAAAGTTCCAGGTTCATCACCTATGTCCCAGAAATTTCACTGACAGGTATATATGGTATACCCTAGAAAAATTCTTGTGCATGTATGCAAGGAGACAATGGACAAGATAGTTTACACTCCAGAACTGTTAATAACAGGGCAAAAACTGGAAGCAAATTATCAATAGGAGAATGCAAAAATGCACTGCAGAATATTTATACAATGGAATATTACACCCCTGTCGCGGCCCGGATTGCAGAACGGGGGATGGACACAGAAAGAAACACACAGACACACACAAGGACATACAAGACTGCAGTAGTGAATTCTACCAGTCGCTTTATTCTTATGCTTTATTCTCATACTTTTCTCTGTCCGGCAGCTACTTCCTGGCACGTGACTACCTTGGGCGCCTTGAGGAAAACACATTTTCATTCCTTCCAGACGATTGCTTAAGGGAAGCAGACGTTTGCATCTTAACTTCTTGCATCTTAACTTCTTTATCTCATTACCATATGCAGGACAATGAGACGCCTTGGCTTGTTTGCAAGACCCGAGGTGCTTGGTTATCTGTCATAAAGCTATCTGTCATGAGGAATAGTTCTGTTTGGTCAACAGGCCGGGCCGGGCCTATTGATCTCTGGCGCCAAGGAGAGCACACCCAGTTTCGCTGACTCTGGGCTTAAGCCAATTTTTGCCCAGGGACGGTCCCTACACACCCCAGTAAAAGTAAATTTGTGCAACATTTCTCAATGTGAATACATTAGGTTGAAAAAAAAATAAGTTGCAGAATTACATGTACCATATAAAACCCTTTACATACACTTTTGACAGTGTCATATAATACTAAATATTATCTATGAATACATACTTATGTCCAATAACATAAAATATTCAAGGTACTAATTACCCAAATCCTGACAAAAGAGGAGAAGGAGAGAGCCAAAAAGGATTGGGAAAGGGCTTCAAGTTTATCTTTAATAAAATACTTTATTTTTTAAGGAAAAAAAGAAAAATCAAATAAATATGGCAAAATATTAAGATAATATAGCACACGACAATGGGAAAACAATTTCCATTATATTATTCTCTGCATTTCCTCTTCTATGAAACATTTCATAATAAAATATTTAAAAAAAAAAACACCCACTATCTGACACAAAAGGCAATTCCACCCTCACCTAATTATTAACATAAGCCTTTCAAGTTGCCGGGGAAGAGTACTATGAGGGGAGATAATGGAATTCTGTCATTCTTCATTTTTGTTTGGTCTATTAAATGCTCTAGTCTGTAAACAATTCCACCTAGGACTTCCAGTTGTATTAATACATGGAGCAAAGGTCTCTGTTGCTGAGGTTCAGACCTGTCTAGCATACTGGCTGGGCAGGTATCTGCCTCCTGGATAGGAATTCATCTCAGGCAAGGTAATTTTGCTCCAACAACAAAACCTCAGACATGGGAGGGGAGGAAATTTTGAGTGTGGTATGGGACTGGCATTAGGTTTTGTCCCCCAGCCTTCCAGATTCAGACTCTTTCTTAAAAACAACAACAACAAAACCATCCTATATTGGGACACAACCATAATACCTGAATACCCCCAACACAACTACAACCAAGAATGGGGTTACAGCACCCTCTTCTTTGGCACCTCAAGGACTCCAGGTCATCAGGATTTGTGAAAATCTAGGATGACAAGTGGCAACACCCAGAAGAAACAGCAGAGGTGTCCAGGAGAAGCAGCAGTACCCAGTGAATAAAGCAGGACCTCATGGAATTAGCAAAACTGTCAGTCATACCAAGTAGAACGGGCAGAAATAATAATAATAATAGCTAATACTTATATAGTGTTTACAATATGCTAAGCACCGTCCTACTCACTTTATCTACACTAAATCTTTTATTCCTCAAAACAACCCTATGTAAGAGGTATTATTATTTTCCTCATTTTACACACGGGACGCCGAGACACTGTGGTAGATAGGCCCCAAGATAGCCACCATCCATTCCTTCTCTCCCTGTATTTGCAAGCTATTCCTTATAAAAAGAGAGGGAGTCTAATTCCCCACCTTTGGACGTGAGCTGGCCTTAGTGACTTGCTTGACTAATAGAAAACAACTTTCTGGGATTTCTAAAGCTAAATCATAAGAAGCCACAAAGGCAGGGTCTCTTAGGATACTCACTCTTGGGACACTCGTTCTTAGAACCAGCTGCTACACTGTAAGAATCCCAAGCTACAGAGGCCACATGTAGGGGTTCTGATGGACAACCTCAACTGAGCTCAAAGGCACCAAAAGGTATCATCTTCCGGCCATGTGAATGAACCGTCTTAAACATCCAAGCCAGATGACTCCAGCTCCAGCCACCATCTGATTGCAACTGCATAAGAGGCCTCAAAAGAGTGACTCAACTGAGCCCATCCAGTCAGCCCACAGAACTATGAACGATGATATTTTTTAATATGTCGTTTAAGACATTAACTTTTGGGGTAGTTTGTTACACAGCCAAAGATAAATAAACTAGACACAAAGAAGTTGAAGGACTTATTCCAGATCATGAGGTTAGCAGAGCAAGGACTCCAATCCAGGCCATTTGGCTCTAGAGATCGTGCTTTTGAACATTACTTTATACTGCCTCTTGTTTCTGATAAAAACCATAATATCCAGTGGAAAGGGCAGAATGAGGGAAGAAAAATTATCAGGCTCTAGTGGTGGGTGGACTTGCATATGAGTATATGCAAGAAAATTTCCCAGATTCCACAAAACAGTGAGGCTGGACATTGTAAGGAAGTTGGTATCTTATGCAGGTGAAGGAAACAAGCAGTTAAAACATGGGTTACAAGCTCAAGATCAATCTGAAACTTACCTGTCGCTGGACAAACATGGTCACTATCTTCTTCGCTTGTTCAAAGGGGGATTCTTCATCGGGAAAGGAGTTCCTCATGGCAAAGCCCACATCCATACATAGCACAACAGCTGCCTAGAAATAAAGTCCCAAAGAGTGTTTGAGAAAGTAACAATCATAAGAAAAAGATTTTGAGGTATGTCCCTTGCTTACTGCAATCACAAAACCCTTATTGGTATTTAGGGGAGGCAGGATAAAGGGAAGGGAGATACTATTTAATCCAGAAAGTAACTGCCAGGAGAGGAGCATGCTCCGGGTAGCTGCCTCTCCTTTGGCCTGGGCCCCAGAATAAACCCATGTTGAGCAGATATGAAATCAACCTATAGGTCAGAGTTAAGTCCAGCCCAACTGAGCCCAACACTCTTTAGACAAACTGCAGCTGATCTGCAGACCAACTAGCATGAGAATAGAGGCTTTTGCTGTGTCACTTATTTGAGGTGTCGTTTGTTAAGAAGCATTTTTTGTTACAACTGGTGAGTACTACAATCTATGTATGCTGAGACGGTACACTCTGACAATGAGTCAGTTTGTAAACTGGGAATCTAAAATAAAAACTAAGACACCAAATCTCTTCCAGTAGAGGACACAGATACATAACAAAGAATGCCAGCATAATGTTCCGTGACAGAGCTATGCAGTGGGCAGTGAGAGACATAGGAGCATCTACCCAACACTGGTGGAGGGGAAGAATGAAGGGTAAGGAGGCAGGAAAGTCTTCCTGAATATGGACTTCCTTGAGTGAGTCTTCAAGAATGAGTGGGAGTCAATCATGGGACCAAGAAAGTTACAGATGGATGGAACCACATAAGCAAAGGCACAGTCATTAGACAGATAGCAATCACGCTAGTGAGCAGCTCTGGGCATCATGTCCTGTGAGAAAGATTAACTATAACTGACCATGAAATGAACATGTTAGGGAAGGATCTGAACAGTATGTGCTGTAAAGAACAGTTGGAAAAAACTAGATATTTGAGCCAGATGAGACTAAGAGGAACATGATAGTTCCCAAATATTTAACAGCTGTGTTATGAAAAGACTGATCTACAAGAAAGAACAGAATCGACAGATGGAAGTCACAGGGAGATTGGTTTTATTCCACACAAGGAGGAAAAAGTAACATTTAGAAGTTGTCAATAGAGGAACTACTGTTTTCTGAAGCAGTGATCTTGTGACCCTAAAAGAATTTGAAAAACCTGTATGAGCTCCTATCGGGGAAGTTATAGATGATTTCTAAATGTGGTTATATCTCAGGCAACATATGAAAAGACTACTTTTCTCTAGTTTACAAAAAAATTGAACATAAGCCACTAATATTAAGAGATTTTTGGAGTAAAAATAGCTTATTTGAAAAAAAGAAAGTGGTAAAAAACTACAAAATTCCTTTCAGAGCAATAAAATTTATATCTCACAGTTTCAATGCCCTGGGCATAATAATATAAAGAAAACTTAAGTCACAAAATATGCTCCTGCAGTTATTTACTGCATGTGCATATAAACCCCTTTTTTCCCCCCCTCTAATTTCATGAGAGATTAAAACAACTTTTTTTTTTTTTGGAGACAGGGTCTCACTCTGTTGCTCAGAATAGAGTGCAGTGGCATCATCATAGCTCGCTGCAACCTCACACTCCTGAGTTCAAGCGATCCTCCTGCCTCAGCCTCCCAAGTAGCTGGGAGTACAGGCAAATGCCACCGCCCCTGGCTAATTTTTCTGTTTTTTGTAGAGACAGCATCTGGCTCTTGCTCAGGCCGATCTCAAACTCCCAACCTCAAGCAGTCCTTCTGCCTTGGTCTCCCAAAGTGCTAGGATTACAGGTGTGAGCCACTGCGCCTGGCCAAAAACTGCTTTTAAACCAGAAAATTCTAAAAGATTAAAGGTCTTTTGCCAGGAATCAGGTATCCGGAAAATTACATCAAAGGATTTCACAACATGGAATTTCTTGTCTGGAGGCAGAAGAATGGTCTATGTAATACTTGGAGCTCCTTTCTGGTAGCTGTAAGAAAACCAGGAAAGAGATACTGGGCAGCATAGCAACTCTTCATTTCTATACTGAAGCAATACAGGCTATTAGGATTTTACTTCAAGTTTATCTGCCACAAAAGTAACAGCTCCTCCACTAGAGCTACAGAGTTTTCAGCCCCTGAATGAGGAGGAACAAAGGAGGTGAGTGGAATCATTTCGAGTTGATAATCTTTTTAATCAACATTTACCAACATAGAGTTGAGGGGACTAGGGATCAGTTGCTCAAACTCCTATCTTGTTTATCTGTATTGAATGAATGAATCCCTGGAATCACATCTTCCTCTAGTGACCTTTTTGAGACAACTACCACTCTCCTGCTATATTTAAAACAAATCACGTTAAAATAGATTGCAGTTTGTTATTAATCTGGGACACCAAGGGTCACAGATTCCTAGCAACACAAAGATTGTCCAGGGCTCTGATGCTGGGTTCAAACCCAGGTTCCACCACTTATGGATCGTGGGCTAATTATTATAATCAATTCAGTTCTCTATGCCTGGGTTCTCCCACTTGCAAACTGGGGATAAGTAGTTTTCACTTTATGAGATTGTTGTTGAGATTAAATGAAATGGTAATAAAGGGTTTAGATTATTTTATTATCCTCTGTGCCTCACACGTTTATTGAATATCTTTCAATAAATGCGAAAAATTAAATTGTTACAGAGATAATAATGTGACATTTTACATTTCAAGTTATTTTATTCACGGATCGTCCCTCTCCGAATTTTACACGCCTGTGGGGTAGGTGCTTATCATCCATTCCAATATAGATTTTTAAGAACCCAGACTCAAAAGTACCAGAGGAGGTGGGATTAGAGGGTGGAGTGGGAATGAGGGGTAGTGAGGGCAGGTGGGTGAGGAAGGAGGTATAATGAGGAGCAGGTGGCAAAGGGAGAAGGGGAATGGGATGGCTGGGTAATGGGAAGGGGAAAGAATGAATGAGGATCAAATTCAGGTCTTCGGACTCCAAATCCCCAGCTTTTCTCATAGCGCGTCCCTCGGTCCTCGCCCTCCAGTTCCAGCCCACCACTATGATCTTCCCTGTTGCTCCACTCCTTGGCAGTGCCGTGATCCCACGATTCCTGCTTCCCAGCCACCCTCTCCGGATCCCCGGCAGAGGTAAGGCCCAAGCCCATGGCACGCTCTCTACCTTATTCCCCGACCACGCCATGCTGCTGGTCCGCAGGCGCCTTGCTTGCCTCTTCCGAGCAGAAACCTGCACCGCCACAACTCGGTTCCGGCGGACTAGCAGCCCACCGTAGAAAAAAGAGCAGCTTCCGGCTAAGCCTGGAAGGGGCGGGGAAACCGTCCTCGGGAACTCTGAGCATGCGCATATTCCCTCCATTCCGCTTTGGTGAGTGTGTGGAGTAGGAGCCGAGACGGTAGTGCTGGCCGTTAATATTCGTCACTGCTCCGAAAGACTCATTTTCCTTTTCTTTCATTGACTGTAACAACTACAGAGTTTTGTGTCAAGACTCTGGAGTTAGATTTCCTTGAGTATAAGCCCGGAAAGTCACTTAAGTTCTCTAAAAGTCTCAGTTTCTTCCAGTGAAAAGTGTAATAAAGACTTAACAAATGCGACGACCTTAAACCAACTCCTTTAGAATGAGTAGGAGTTTTCCAGACCAAAAAAAAAAAAAGTAGAAAGGGGAGATACAAACGCCTGTAGGCACGAAACAGCATCTGCTGAGTCCCAATAGTCTGGAGTGTCTCTAGCTTGGAAGGAAAGAGGCGAGGTTTTATTTGGAAGACGAGTCTAGGGAGATGTTCTAGAAATGGCAGCTGTAAATCACAGCGGTTGACTGGCTTTCTTTCAAGGAAACGGTCCAGCATGCAGCCCCTGCCCCTTTGAGGGAGACTGGCGTAAGCCGAACTTTGCACAGAAACAGCTGTTTTTTTATACCAAATGACCCACAAGCTGACAGGTGATTGGACAAAGCCTCCGGCAACCTGCAAACGGTCTGTAAACCTCTGCCCAAAGTGGGAAAATGAAGTCCAGTAAGTATTCCCTCCTTGGAAATTGGACCTGGGAAAAACTAGAACTAAAGCTGAAAAGGTGTAAAGAATCCATGAGCTTAAAGTTATAAATTGTTGAAGCCAGCAGAATCAGACCTTGTCAGACATGCCGGTGTTACAGAAGGTTCCGTACTTGTCCCCAGGTCAAATCAATGAGAATGAAGAAGAGGACAAGTGATTTGAAAAAAAGGAAAGAGAAATTTATTAATTTGCTAGCAAATGAGAAGGGAGGTAGACTAGTGTCTCAAAAGACCACCATCCTGCCTTTAAGTTGAAACTAACAGGGCTTTTTAAAAGAGTGGTATTTGGTGGTTGGGCTCAGGTCTATGACCATGACCAGTGTCATATGTCGTGGCTTCAACTATTGCTTAATTGGTGGTTTCCAGTTGACCTTATCTTCGGTGACAATGATCTTGTGACCCTCGAACAATTCTTTTCAGCCATCTCCTTTGCTTTAAAATACTAGAAAACAAACAGCAAAGAACATTTTTCTGCCCCTTAGATTACTGGCCTGGGGAAGGAATGCAGATTTTAATTCCCAAAGAGGGCTGGAGGTTTTAAAGAGACAACTCATAAAACATTTCATTGCTCCTTTTCAGACCTTTACCTCTGTTACATTCATAGACCTGTTAACTTAAATAATAAGTGGCAGGAAATGAGAGTCACACACAACTGAGGTTTATCATCATAAGCCAAGATTTTGAGGATGCATCCGGGAAAAACAGGAACTGCAGACAACCTCCGGCTGTTTTTCCTAAGGGGAAGTTGGAACCTTCAGCATTTGAAAGGCATACAGAGAGGTTCCTGAGATCCTCACATCTCTTTTGCCTAAGGAATTGGTGGGGGAGGGGGAGTGGCCCTGGGACTTTGATTTTCTTTTTACAGACCCCAGGAGGTTTTTCCACCTTTTGATGCAAACTCAAGGAGTTCTTTTAAAGCTGAAATATTTATAATAATATTTTTACAGAGAGGTAGTGGCCAGGCAGCTCAGCTTTGCGAAGGCTCTTGGCCTTGCCACAGCCAGCAAGCACCTGGCAGCTGCCCTTTCTTGCTGCCAAAATGCCCAAGAGGCAGGTCAGTTCAAGGAAAAAGGTGGTGAATGAAGAGCCCACAAGGAAGTTAGCAAGGTTGTTAGCTAAACCTGCTCCTACAAAAGTGTAAACAAAGCCAAAAAAGGCATCAGGAAAGGATAAATCCTAGGACCAAAAAAGTGCAAAGAAAAGGGAAAAAGGGAGCAAAGGGCAAACAGGCCCAAATGACTAACCAAGAAACTGAAAACGATTTACCCAAAGAAAATGGAGAAACTAAAAATGAGGGAGTCATATACCATGATAAGACATGGTATATGATATTCATCAGATATGGCTTCTTTCTCTCCCACTTCATCAGAGGCTAGACTCCGTGACTATATATGGCTACTCCTTTCCTCCTCCACAACAAAACGATACTGGCTTTGTTGGTTCCATTTCTACCTGTCAGTGCAAGGTCCTTTTGGATTTGTTTCACACAGAATGGAATGTAAAGGGGGAGGACAAGAGGTTGATGGGCTATGGCTAATGGTGGTGCTGGGGTGTGTGTTGGGGGAGTGAGGAGGGAGTTGGACAGAGAGAACACTATGGGAGCCACATGGGAGGCACATGAAGGAAATGGGTGGGATGGGAAAATAACAGTCTGTTACTTTCGTGAACCCCATGAGCCATGCCTGCCAAGATTCATACTCTTATATAGTCTCTTACCCTTGAATCTGGACTGGCCTTATGACTGCTTTAACCAGTAAATGTAGCAGAAGTGACAGTGGGCCAGCTCTAGGCCAAAGCTTTCAGAATGCCCGGCAGATTTGGCTTCTGTACCCTGGTGAACCCAGATGCCATGAATGAAGACCAACTACCATGAGACTGCCATGATGCGCAAGCCCAACAGAGCCACATGGAGGAGCACTATTATGGGCTGAATGTTTGTGTCTCCCCAAAATTCATATGTTGAAATCCTAACCCCCAATGTGATGATATTTGGAGACAGGGCCTTTGGGAGGTAATTAGGCTTAAAAAAATCATGAGAGTGGGGCCCTCATGATGGAATTAGTGTCCCTATAAGAAGAAACACTAAAGAGTTTCTCCCTCCCTCTCTCCCCTTCTCCTGCCCCTCACACAAAAAAGAGCTCACGTGAGTATACAGTAAGAAGGCAGCCATCTGTGATGCAAGAAGAAAACCCTCATCAAAAAGTAAAAATGCTAGAACCATGATCTGAGACTCCCAGCCTCTGAAACTGTGAGAAAATTAATCTCTGTTGTTCAAGCTACCCCATCTATGGTATTATCTTTTATGACAGTCCAAGTTTGTTTTGACAGCCCAAACAGCCTAATGCAAGCACTGAGCACCAATAATCCCAGGGAGGTACCCAGAAGGCACCCAGCACCTAGTTAGCAGCCACATAAGCGAGGTTGTCTAGGAGTAGATCCTCCAGCTCGTAAAGAGCTGCCCCAGCATTAGAAACATTGAGCAGAGACTAGTAGTGGAGCTGTGCCCAAATTATAGAATTATGAGAAAAAGAATCTAAAGGTGGTTATTTTAAGCTGGTATGTTTCAGATGTTACAGCAGCAATAGATAACTAAAACAACAGAGGTTTTTTTGAATTATTGCTCTAATGTAGACCATATGTTCCCTTCAGGGAGGTTAATAAAGGCAAGTAAAATATTTAATTTATTTTGAAATTACAATTCAAGTTGCTAGAATATGTTTGAGTTTTATATCACTCTGAGAGTGACCTATATGAGCGATGACTTTATGAGCATTATACAAAATAAAAATGTACAGGCATTGTGCTCTGACAGAGCCGTAACAATGGTTATATGGGTATTTAGGAAAATTAGTTAAAATTTTAATGGAGTACAGATATGAAATAAAAGTTTATATCTCAAACAGATGTGAGTAGTGATGGTACCATGTTCCACCACTTCCATCAAATACCATTTTTAAAATTTCACAAAGAAAGGTTTATCTTAGTAATTAAATTAATTGAGGTGAGGAAGAGAAATCTTTGATGTTGGCCACTAGTTTTTCTCAACACTGCAAAAATTAAGCCCTGGGTGGCCATTCCAAAATGGCAGAGAGAAACTTTTAAATCATCTGAAATTAGTCCTTTTTAAGATTTGAAATCTTGCTTTATAGGAAATCATGGGTTTTATCCCCCTTGGACATGAACTAAAATGAAGAGTGCTACCTAATGCCAATAGACAAGGTGACTTAGAAACATCAGTGTCACCACACTGAGCTGAGATATGGTTTATCCAGCTGAGCACATTATGGCTGCCAAGCAACTGGAAAATAGAGTCCTCCTTTTTGATATTCACCATGAAGATTAGATGACTATGAGCTAAAAGAATTGTTCAGATATGATATTTAACCCTCTAGTTTCTCCTCTGATGTTCTCTAGTTGCTTTCTGAGAGCAAAGATGAGATTGCTTTAGTTCTATTTGGTTCTGTTTTCCTTTTTCTAGTCTGGCTTTTACATACCTCTATAGAGCCCTTTTGAAATGATTCTAGTTTACGAGCCTATTTCTTCAGTAGGTGATGAGTCCAACTAGGGTGAAGGCCATGTCAACTTTATCTAGGATCCCTTGGGCATGGTCTCACTCTCACCTCCCACTGTGTTCCACCATGGCCACCTTATCCTTGTCCTAATCATGACTGTTTTTAGCCTTAGCCATTGGTTTCCCCAACCTCAGAAAAATGTGGCAAATGTGGTCACAAGTTTCTAATGTGGTTTGTGGAAACATTCTGCCTAAATAGAATCCCCATAAATTAGTGATGTGTGAAAAGAGTCAAGACATAAGGATTCATATTAAGATCATTACATATATATAGGACAGCCACCATACTCACCCTTTTTCTGCAAGCTGTAGAATTCAAGGAAACTTTAGAGAGCCTCAAAGACAAAGTGAGCAAATTTTAATCAGACTTTATTTTTATTTTCTTTGTCTGCATTTCAATTATTCATATCTCTGCAAATGCACTAGAGAGCACCAAAGTTATCTTTAAAAGTGCTGGGCATATTTTTTTTCTTGTCAATTTATTAATAGTTTTTTCCCCCAAAAAAAGAGTTCTTCTGAAGGTGGAGTTCAGCACCATACATTAGGTAAATGTCCCCAGCTTTCTGTGGGTAAGCATGGCCAACCCCTCTGGTTTGGTTCACGGCAGTTCTTTCAACAGCTTCTTTCTGAGGCATGAACAAGAAAAAAGCACCAGATATTCTTCAAAATACCTTCAAAATCTGCTGACCTCTTAGCATTTGATATTTTAAAATGAGAAGGAGATCCTTAGAAATGATTTTTGTTTTTTAAATTCAGTATCTATTAATCTGGATGAATCTGGTTTACGCCCCTAGTGGCCAGGAAGACACAAGTATTTCAGCACAATGAAGATCGTGTTTGTTAAACTCTAGAAAGGTCTGAGCGAGCAAAGCTCTGAGTGAGGTTTTGCCAAATAACAGAAGGCTAAATCTGGCTTCTCTGTGCTTAGGGGTGCTTAGGTTCCCTCTTAGGGGAACATTTGGCAAATGCAATCTCTCTCTTCCCAATCTGTAATCTACAGATTAGATTGAATAGCACCACCCCTGTCCCCATGTCCACCACCAGGAAAAAGAGTTATGCTACTATTATCTAATTGTTCTCTCCTGTCCACTACTCATTTCCAAAAAAATTTAAAACCACTTGATAGTACAGAAGTTTAATTGCAAAGTATGTGAGATGCTAATACCTATATATATCACATACATAGTATATGTAGCTAATATCTACATATAAATCTGTGTAAAATTCAGGCCTAAATAAACAAATAAATGAATGAATAAATAAATAAATAAAACTATATTAGCAGTTTGGAATTCTGAATGTATTTAAATAATTATTGTGAGGCAGAGATTCTTACTTGCCTACCAAAATAGCCATTCTTCCCTTTTCTCTCCAATTAGCATAACCCCAATATTTAGGCGAGACTATAGTTATCCAGCCAAATGACTACATTTCCTAGCCTTTTTTGCTTGTGAGGTCATGTGACTGAGGTCTGGCCAATGAGATATCAGAAGGGTTGAGTAGGACTTCTGGGAAGTCTCCTTAAACAGGAAGGCTCTTCTTTGCCCCTTCCTGTTTTGCTAGAAACATGGGTGTGATGGCTGGAGATGTAGTTCAGCACTAGGACCGAGGCTAACGGCAATGAGGGTCACATGCTGTTAATGGCAGAGGAATAGAAGCAGCCAAGGGCGTGGATGACTTCATAGGCTCCCAGGATGGTCTGCTCCAGGCTTCTTCTATGCAAGAAAGAAATACACTTCTACCTTGTTTAAACCACTGATATTTTAGGGTTTTAATTATATGCAGCTAAATTTAACTCTAAATGATACATACCAATCTTTACTTTCTGCTATACTGTGGCAGCCCAGCTTCCTAAATGTTTCACTCCATCCTCTTGGTGGACTTGGTCACTCCTGAGCCTCTTATTCTCCCTGTCACATTAAGTCACACACTCCCCTGGGGTCCAGGCACCAGTAACATCTTCAGGCTCCTAAACTGATATACAATGGAGCTCCTTGTCCCTGATAAATGGACATTTTAGGGCAGAGAATCAAGAAAAGTTTGTCCATTGGATGGAATGGTTTAGCACAAACTGCCATTCTGTTCCCTGCCCTCCAGGAATCATCAAGATGGCAGGACAGATCAGTATGGGCTAGGATTTTCCAGAAGAACTGTGGTGGGGAGGGAGTAATTTAAGGAAAGAATCTGGTGAAATTATAAGATGATATATAGGCTACTGGAGCCAGAGAAGGAAGTAAGTTGGTGGGAGTTTAGACAGTGGAGGTTTCTACTTCCTGGATGGGGTCCTTGTTGGAAAGAGTGGCCGAGATATTGTCAGATTCAAGCAGCTCCACAATGCTGTAGGGAGAACAGTCCTCCAGCCCCAGCTTGCTGCAGAGCCAGCCACAGAAGCCCTTCTCCATGTCCCGAGCAGCTTGCCACCATGCTCCCCAGGACCACGAGAGCTGGACCACGGCGGCATAGAGGCCCAGGGCAGAGGCCACGGCCATGATGAGCACTGGATAGAAGAGAATGAGGCAGGGGCAACATGAGATCTTGTGCCAGAAGGTCCTCTCCTCATTGTACACGAGAAAGATGTTGTACCAGGTGATAGTGCCATAGTAGAAAGAGACAACGAAAGAGAGGATGAAAACCACGGGCAGGCAGACCAGCGTCCACAGGACCACGTGGGGCCCACGGTCGGCTCCCACCTGGCAGGCCTCTCTTCCTTCCGATGTTGCTTCCCTTGACAGCTCTTTAGGCTTGGTCAGTTCCTGCAGCTCCTTCTCGGTCAATGTGACGTGGATGTCCACCATCTGACCCTTTTTCTTCCCACGTGTGATGGTCCCAGTTAATGTCACATAGCAACTATCCAAGGGCATGTTCCACACACCTGCAGGGCACAAAGGAGGCGAGAGTCAAATTTGGAAGAGCAGATCAGAAGTGCATCACAGCATCATCACCTGAGGCTGGGGATGAGGACGAGAGCGTCCTTTTTTATAGCATCAGACACAGCACTGGAGTCAGCATTCAGCGACGGACTGAAGGGGTCTCCCTCAGGAAGACGACCACTGGTACCGCTGCTCCCACAGTGAGCTCTCACTCCACATGTCAAATTAGGGCGCAGGGTGAGCTTATTCTTCATGTTCTCTCTCCACCTTTTGGGGCCTCAATCTTGGCACAATCTCTGTGACATGAAGGGGTGTGGGGAACTTTACTACAGATACCACTTTATAATGATCCTATGCCTAGTTAACAAGTGCTGTGAAGATGTTGTTCGTGAGTATCAGTTACTGTGCGTAAAGACCGTATGTGTGTGCGTTAGACCGAGGGGCAGCCCACCCTGCCTCCCTTCTCTTGCCTAGCTCTGCGCTTCTCTGAGAGGGGCCTCCTCACACACCTGTGGGCTTCCCAGCCTCACATCCAGGCTCTGCACACATGCCACACACATACACACCACACTCTCCCACACACACCACATACATACACACACATAACACACCACACATGTAATACACACCACACACACACCACATACATATACACCACACTCTCCCACACACACCTACACATACCACATACATACACACACAACACACCACACACACTCTGTACACAACACACATATAATATACGCCATACACATACACCACACACACATACCACATCCTCCCACACACATCACATACATACACCATACACCATACACACCCCAACACCACACACACTACACACATACATACACAACACACATACCCCATGCACATATACCACACACGTAATACACACCACCCATGCCCATCCGCATCACACACCCATATAAACCGCACCACCTATACGCCCCCCACACACCACACACACCCCACACACAACACACTAGTCATTACATATACATACATACAACACCGCCCCCCCACACACCACACACACCCCACACACAACACACTAGTCATTACATATACATACATACAACACCGCTGACCCCCACCTGCACCACATACCATATACACACATGCCACACACACCCTGCATATGTCCCCTCAACCACACCCCCCTCATGCACCCCAGACAGCCATCCTTGGGCCACCCTGGAAGTGAGGTTGGAGATATGGATACAGGGAAGTCTGTGGCCTTTGGTGTGTAAAATGTAGTCTGGAAGTGCAGGGGGGAAGGGTCGGGGGGGTACAGGCTTTAGGTGGGCATGTTGCTTGTGTTGCATGTGGACTCCTGGCCCCACAGCTGTAAGAGAGAGAGAAAATGGAGTCACCTACAGGGCAAGGCCCTGGACAGTGCCAGGGGCTCTGACTGTGCAGTAGAAGGGTCCTGCTGTCCCCCAACCTCATGTTTTCAGTCTCCTTCATCTCAATAAAGGACACCACCATCTATCCTCTGCATCGTTCCTGCCCAACACCCAGGAGTCATTATGGGTTCCTCTCTTTTCCTCACTCCCTGCCTCTGATCAATCAGCAAGTCCCAGATCGCATTCTGAATCCAGCCTCTCTTCTCTAGCTCTCTCTCCTGCTGTCACCCCAAGCCTCTATATCTGTGCTACTGTGGCTGCAGGGACACAATAGTCTCCCATCAGCTTCCAGTCTCACTCCTGTAATCCATTCTTTATAGAGAAGGCAGAGTGATCTTTTAAAAATATAAATGAGGCTGGAAGCAGCAACTAACACCTGTAATCCTAGCACTCTGGGAGGCCGAGGCAGAAGGATCGCTTGAGGCCAGGAGTTTGAAGTTGCAGTGAGCTATGATGATGCGCCTGCACTCCAGCACTTACGTGTTTAGCATAAACTGTTTGTGTTACCAATTTTTGCATATAAATCAGCCTCTTCCATCACATTAAAAGTTCTGAAAGGGTGGTGGAGATCTCCTCCATATCACCTACAATAGAACATAATAGGTGCTCAGTAAATACTGTGGATTTGTTGAATGAACCCTGCAACATTATGAGAAGAAATGTATCACCAAGAAAAAACAGATCAGTGAGCAAATGCCTGTCTATTCCGGGGGATGCTCTTTTGGTTTCCTTCCCATGGTTTTAAACAAGTGGCCCTAGACAGACTCACCATCATCCACAGGATAGTCTAGGAAATCATCTCCCTCCTCCTCTTTAGGCTGCTCTCCACCTTCTAATTCCCCAGGCTCCTCATCCGTTTTCTCATTGTCTGAGCGGTAGACGATGATGGATTCTGGGCGGGACTCTTTCTTCTTCTTTTTCCTGCGACCCATTGTAGATTCCCCATCCAGGGCCAAGGCAGCAGCCACAGCCTTCCTCAGTGAGCCCTGGTGGGGGCTTGGGAGCTGGGCCTGGCCTTCCACTGATGCTGGCTCTTCCATCCCAATCCTGGCCTCTATCTATGCCTTATGAAGAGTCTGACTTGAATATGCAAATGTACAATCCATACATCACAGAGCTTCCTCCTGGATGGGGCATATGCAAAGATATCCCAAGGATGCGTTCCACCTGAAAGATAGGAAAGCAAAGCCATCAATAGGTAGCAAAAAGGGTGAGATGGAGACATTTGGGAAATGATCCTCAACTTGACAGAAGCCTTTCCTTCCCTTTATTTCTCCTAACACTTTACTGAGTTGCTTATCCCCTGGAATTATTTACCTTGGAAAGTCTCTCTGTCCTTACTCTTCATGCATACACCTTTGTGCTCTTAGACACGTCAGCCAAATGAGTTCCATAGTCCAGCAAACTCTATGCATAAGAATTTAAAGATAATGGTGCCCATTCTATTCTAACAAAGTCAGGCAGTGAGGAAGTCTCAACAAGCATAACAGGTAGGTTTTATTCTCCTCACTTGACATATTAGGCTCATTCATGTTAAATATACCAGTGAGAGAACTTGGATTTAAGCCTATATTTACACAACTCTAAAGCCCAGGATTTTCCCACCATAATTTAGAAGTGTTAGTGGCAGCAGTGGACAGCTGGTGGTTTTCGTTTTTGTTTGTTTGTTGTTGCTGTCCAGAACCCTATTCCACCTTAGTTTAATGACAGGGCCACTCATTTCTGTGAGGAACACAATCTTGAAAATCTGCAATGTGACCACAGTGACCACTTCGTCATTATTCTCCTGTCCACACCAGTGCCTTTGATTCTGCTAATTTCCAGGTCTTTCTTGAACCTTCCCTTACCTCTTTTGACTTTCTACACTAATTCTCTTGTTACCTTTGAAACCCTCCTCCTGTCTCTTTCGCTACCTCATCTGCCTTCTCCAGTCCATAATTGCCAATGTTTTTGAGACTCAATTCTCAATTCATTGTCCTCTATTCTCAACAGAACATTCTCTTCCTCCTGTTAAATGCACAGCCTTCCTTCCCACAGCTATAGGACCACTTCTGTGCCAAGAACGTCCTAATCTAGATCTCAAGAATGTATTTCCAGTTGCCAAGTAAATATTTGCTGATTGAATCTCTCATCATTTTTGGCTAAGCATGTTCAAACCAAACTCATTATCTTTATTTCCAGCAGAAAACCTCACAGTGTTACCAAAAGGGAAAGGGAAGGAGAAAGGGATGGAGAAGGAAACTCCACAGGGTTTATGGAGTGTCTATTTTCATAAAATAGGACATTTACTGATTGTCTAATTTGTTAGGTTCTGTGTTAATTGATTATACAGACCATGCATTACTTCATTTAAATACACATTCAATAAATAAATAAGTCTTTATTTATTTATTTAGAGATGGGGGTCTCACTATGTTGCCCAGGCTGGACTTGAACTCCTGGGTTCAAGTGATCCTCCTGCCTCAGCCCCTGGAGTAGCTGGGATTACAGGCATGCACCATCGTGCCCAGCTTCAATAAATATTTACTGAACAATACTGTGTGCCAGACATTGCACAGTTGTTCTAGGCACAACAATCTTACGAAACAAGTACTATTTTGCAGAAGAAGACACTTGGACTTAATAATAGTAACAACTAAAACTCATTGGATGCTTCCTGTGTGCCAGGTGCCGTTCTAAGTACTTTATAGTAATCATACTGTTCAATCTTCACAACAAACCAGTGAAGTAGATACTATTATGACCTCCATTCAGAGGAGAAATTTGCTCAAGATTACATAGCTAGTAAGCGGTGGGGCTGGAACTCACACCCAGGTTTGTTCATTTCAAAGCGTATGTTCTTCTCACTGTGCCTATTGCTCACCAACATTTACCTAAGGGTCTATGACTTAAACTTCCAGAAATTTCTTTGATGAACCCATTTACTAGATTAGGAATGTATTTCTGTATCCCTAATACTAATCAGTTTCTCAATCCTGTTAATCATTACTGCGAAATCTCTTTGTTAATCTGTTCACTTGAATTTCTACTGCCACTGTACGCTAGAATACAGCCTTCACGCTACTCCCTCCTCGCTGGTTTCCTGCCTTCCATTTCAGAATTCTTCCTGCATCATTTTAAATGGTGATTAATAAAAAAAAAACAAATCAGTATTTGTATTTTATCCAGTAACCATCACCATCTTGCCATTTCTGACTAAAATATATTTAAAGGTCTGCCTGGTGTTAGAGGCTTTCCATATTCTTGCGCCACCTGAGGATTCAGTAGCAATTTTTCCCCTTTCCTTCCCCACAACAGACTACTCAACACATTGCTTTATGTTGGTTTCTTCACCTTCTTTACTCTTCTCCACCACTTTCGAGCCTGGCTCGAGATAGACTCACTCACATCCCCTTTGTGACTATTCCAGCCCACACGTCTCTCCCCTTCCCCGCCGAACCCTGTTGTTGCAGGAGTATGGTAAGAATTCAGTGAGTGCTCCAGTGTAAAATGCCTAGTATGTGACTGATATGTCATAAAAGTTAGTTTCCATTCCCTTTCTGCTGCCTCTCCTACACTGTATTTCAATATCATCTGTCATCCGTACCATACTCTTAGTACTCAAGTGTGCAGCATTTCATCTCACTGTATTGATTATAGATGGGGTCGTGAGTTTTCATTCATCTCTCCAGGTAGATTATAAACTTCTAGCAATCAGGAACCATCTTACACTTCTTCTTCTTCACCACCAATGGGAAGACCCCAGGGCTGGACATGTTGCAGAAAGTCAGTATGTACTTGTTATCTTGATAGGACAGAGAAGATATGAAAATGCCTATTCAGAAATATGATATAAATGACTATTAAGAGAGGAGGAATTAATTCTCTTCCCCATTTTTATATACTTTATTATGCTACTAGTATTTAATCTGAGAAGCAGATTCTATGAGAGAGAGGGTAAACAATTTTTTTTTACTCAGTTTCCAAGGCTTTAATCAATAAAATGAAGAGAAGAGACAGGACTTTTTTTTTTTCTCTGGAATTTGGACTTTGCCCATCCTCCACCTCCATCTCCACCCCAGTCTAAAGATTATTAACGAATGTGATATTGCAGCATGTTAACCTCAGCCAACCATTAGCTCTGGACTCTTGGCCATCCTAGGGGGAAAAACTAGGTTTTAAAGAACATGTTTATACTTGGGAACTCATGCTTAGAACAACTGCTTTTAAGCCACTCTTGAAGAAAATTCTCCAGATAATTCTTAAATTAATCCATCAACTTTGCCCTCCTTGCTACCACTACGGTCTAAGAGCCCATCATCTCTTACCTATGATTTTAAAAAATGCTCCTTATCTTCTGCTTTCCACTTTTGCTGCCTTCTAATCAATTATCTACTCAGCAGTAAGAAAGGTCTTTTGAAAACATAAAGAAAATCATGCATTTTCTGCTTAAAACCCTCCTGTGACTTCCCACTCTTATAAAGTGAAATCCAAACTTTCCATGTAGTCCGAGGACCTGCAGGGTCTGCCCCTGCCCCTCCTGCCCTCCCATGCTATCCCACCTCCCTCACACCTACTGTGCTGCAACCACACATTGGCTGCCTACATATTCCTTGAGAGCACCAAATGCTTTCTCACTTGAGGCCTTCTTAAGTGCTGCCTACCTTGCTGATCTGCTGCTCCACCCTTCCCCTTCACACTGTCACCTACTTTGTTTCCCTAAGTCCCTGTTCAAATGTCTCCTCCTCTGAGGCCTTCTTGACACCCAAGCTAAAAAAGATTCCCTGCCCTGCTACTCATTATTCTTCATCCCAACAGCCTATTTCCTGTATAAGACTTGTCCTGACATTTGTAATTAGCGTTTGGTTTTTTTTTTTAAACAGGGTCTTGCTCTGTCCCACTGGCTAGAGTGCAGTGGCATCATTGTAGCTCACTGCAACCTCAAACTTCTGGGCTCAAGCAATCTTCCTGCCTCAGCCTCCCAAGTAGCGGGGACTATAGGTGCTCCACAGCATGTCCAGCTAATTTTTCTATTTTTTGCAGAGACAGGGTTTTGCTCTTGCTCAGGCTGGTCTTGAACTCCTGGATCGAAGCAATCCTCCCGCCTTGGCCTCCCAAAGTGCTAGGATTACAAGTGTGAGCCACCACACCCAGCCTGTAATTAGTATTTATTTGTTCTTTTACTTGCTTATTGTGTATCGCTTCTACTGGAGTGTAAGATCTACGAAGTGGTAACATACAAATAGGCCAATAAGTAGGCCTATTTGATAAAGTTTGATAAAGTTTTTTAAGTGACTAGGTGAAGTGGTAGCAATTAAGGACTAGCCTGATTTTGTCAAAGACTGAGACTGAAGAGAAGTTTAATAAAGAGACATTAATAAGCTCCTCTATATGCCTAGTTATGGCACAATTGCTAGGTGCTCCTCCTATGTCTGTTTCCTCCTTGTTAATAATGGAAGTTTCCGCTGGTCACATGGTTTCCCTGGTAAAGATAACACTTCCCAACACCCCTTGCAACCAGGGGTGATCATGGGATTAGTCTGGCCAATGGGATGTGAGCAGATGTGATGTGTGCAACTTCTCTGTCTGGACCCCCTCTTCCTCTTCTCACCTTCTTGAGGGCTGGAACATGGGCTGGATGAGCCATCTGCAGCACACGCAGACAAGGGCATCCACCTGGGATAGCAGAGGAATGGGATGAAAGGAGTAAGAGCCACCCTAACAGTCATAAACCCTGTTCCTGTGGACTATAATATGAGAGAAAAAATAAATATCTAACTTTTTTAAATTCACGATTATTTTGGTCTCTTAAGGTAGCTGCAGAGAAATGCCAACTAATATACTGGGATTATCCAAGGTTATTTTATATCTCAGTCCCTCTGCTATGTTCCAATTGTGAGCCCTGGGGCACAGGCAGACCTTGGTATGCATTTCAGAATGGCATCACCCCTGATAATGGGTGGTTCAAGCAGTTATGAGTCTCCTGGATGGGCCAGGAATTCTGAAACTCAGCTGTCCAGTACAAAGGAGATCACACTGTTACAGGCTCAAGCTCTACCAGAAAGCCACTGGACAGCTCAATAAAGTATTCGATTCTGTTCCCTATTTGTAAGGAGATGGCCAACAATGTACCAAAAACAAGTCTTGTTGAAAGAAACCAACAGTTCTTAGGCATTCAATAAAAATTCAAGACTCACAACACCACAAAATGAGTATACCTGCCCAGCTGTAGCATTTCGGAAGGGCTGAGTCATCAACAGGAAGTCTGGTTGTTACTCCCTGCTGGCCAGTCCCCATCCAATCAGTCACTCAGTCACTAACCTCCCAGGTGACCATAGGAGCAGACTTGATCCACCACCGTCTCCAAACCCATTCAGATACTCAGCAGAACTTGTGGCCTTGGTAGGTAGAGAAGCCAGGAAGCTTTGAAGCCTCTGCCCTTATGTTCATTGCAGGGAAGCAAGTAATATACATGGATAAAGTGTGGCTGGGATAAGCTAATAAATGGCAATGACACCAAGCCTTAGCAATTAGACACAATAAGGAGTGGTGGGAACTATGGCAAATACAAGAGCTCAGCTCTCATCTAAAATAGGAACCTACTGTTCGCCGCTCTTCCACCCACCAAGCCAGGTCCTTCCATAGAGGAAGGCAGGCACATTTAGTATGAGATGTCTGAAATTTCATGTGAAAGTTTCTGATTTTAATTGTTAAGATTAGTCCAGGCCGGGCGCGGTGGCTCACGCCTGTAATCCTAGCTCTCTGGGAGGCCGAGGCGGGCGGATTATTTGAGCTCAGGAGTTCGAAACCAGCCTGAGCAAGAGCGAGACCCCGTCTCTACTAAAAATAGAAAGAAATTAATTGGACAACTAAAAATATATAGAAAAAAATTAGCCAGGCATGGTGGTGCATGCCTGTAGTCCCAGCTACTCGGGAGGCTGAGGCAGGATCACTTGAGCCCAGGAGTTTGAGGTTGCTGTGAGCTAGGCTGACGCCACGGCACTCACTCTAGCCCGGGCAACACAGTGAAACTGTCTCAAAAAAATGATTAGTCCAAACTTAAATATATTACCATGTGGACAAACAACCAAAACAAAACATAAATGGGCTGTCATTTTGCCACCTTTGGCTGACGTTCCCAAATCAGGGTGTGCCTACTCCATTGGGTTAAGAATATTAGGATCTGGCACTTTGCACCTTTACCCACACTGAATCTGAACTACTGGAGCTGTGAGGGGGGAGTATTATCATTTTTAAGCTAATTTACTACTACTACCGTGAATTGTGCTTTGCCCCAGTCCTGCTGTTCTTTCAACCCTTCTCTGATTTGTGTATCTGTCACCCAAAGGGCTACCTGTCTGGGTTGGCCAGACTCCCCCAATGACATCTTGGTTTACCCCATTAGGTTTATCACCAACTAGGAAATAAAATGTTTACTATTTCACTACAGAAAATTGCCACTTTCCCCTCTCAGAAAGACAGTCTCATCTGTGTAAAAACATGGAAGGGAATTTGGTTCAGACTGATGTCAAGTGACTGGAACTACGATGGAACAGCATCTGGAAACTCCTAGCCACCAGCCAGTTGCTGTGAATTAACCATGAGCACAGTCAGGGTCTGGTCTGTTTCTTTGTGATCCTGTGAGCAGCATTTCTCTTGTCCTTGCCTAACCTGTCTGGTCCTGAAAGGCTCTCACACTGAGGCAGGTTCATCATCAAGGGAGCATCTGACCATCTCCAGAGGAAATAGTTCTGGCAGCCAGGGTAGTTAGTTACAAGGAGCTGGAGCATCTCCTTATTGAGAAAGCTGTAAGACCTCATCTTTGCTACCTGATCCTTTGTTTGCTTATTGGCCTACCTTTGGTGGCACACAAATTGCTTCCAACTCCACTCCCACTCCCAACATACCTACATGCTGGAATATAAACTTCACAAGGGTGTGGAGACTCATCTTGTTGATTGCACGGTATCTCCCATCCCTGAGCAGTACCTGGCACGTGGCAAGTGCTGGCTGAATGTTGTGAGCTGGTTAAGAGCCTCATTCATGTGAGCTGGCTCAAGAGTGGTCTTGCTTCAAGGTAGGGGTAGGACTAGACACCTCACTGACATTCCCTCAGCACCGAGGTTCTGGGAGTCTAACTGTTGAGAATCCCACAAGCCCCTGTCAGTCTGAGCCAGCAGCTGCTTTGCAGGAGGAAGAAAATAAAGTTACCAAGCAGATGGGATGGGGGAGGGGTGGGAAGACGGGTGAGCAGCAAGAGCATCTCAGAAGATGAAGGGAGTCATTACTAATAGGGTATGATGGGAGGGAGGGGCGTAAAGGATCACAGCCACAGCGATGCCTTTTTCCCCAGGACAAAAGGGGCAGTGATGCAGAGCGCAGGGAAGGGCAGCATTTAATTCAGCCAAAAGAGTGGTCAACACAGCATGGCGTGGTTGCCCAGGGAAGAGATGCCTCCACTAGGGGCCAGAATTAAAATCTGAAAACAAAGAGCTTCTGCGCAGAACTACTGGTCCTGCCTTTTGGGGTTAGGTCTTTCAAACCCTGATTGAGGTCAGAGGCAGAGGCAAAGAGACCGTACCTCCCTATTTTTAACAAAGGATCACTTGAAGAGTGATCTCTCTTAGTTTCTACCTGGATTGTGGAAAAGAGCTTTCTGACAACTCATCCTGCACCCTCCTTACAACTGAGGAATGGCCCTTGTCATCATCAGTGGGCATAAGTGGCTCGCAGTCCCTAGCCACCTTTTCACTGGATGACATCAGAAAGCCCCTCTCAGTCCACTCAGCAGCCACACAGAGGCTTCCGTACAGCCATGCGCACACTGACCCACCCTGGCACCTCTCTGAGAGTCTGTAGGTCCAGACCAGGTCAAGGACCACGTTAAATTATATTTTCGATAACATTATCTTTCAAAGGAATTTAAAGTGTCCCCACTCTCAAGAATGAAAGTCTGGAATTTTCTGGAATAAGATATAACTCAGAACTAAGTCAATATTTCTTTTCCTGTTTAAAAGAAAATACTTTGTCATTGGCATCAAACCACCAGAAATTATATTTTTCTGCAGCAATACTTTGAAATTTCTTGTTTGAATTGACTTTGTTTGAAAGGAGGTGACAGTATTGTAATTTTTAAAAATTTGGTCATAAATACATAATCAACTTAAGTAGTAGAGGTAGGTGATTCCTCAATAAGCTATGTAGCAAATAGGAACCAGAAGAGATTTCTTCCTTTGTTTAATGAGTATAGATTGGAATCTATAAGCAACACAGAGAAAGAAGTGTTTCCAAAAGGAGGTCAGAGAAGGGGAACAGAGGAACAGGGAGGAAGGGTAGCTGTCCAACAAGAACTGCAGCCTTGCTGGTGGGTGGAACCCGGTGGAGGAAGTGATGTCTGATTCCACTCCCAACCAGACCCATTTCCAATTCGCTTTGTGAATTCACGGTGGTAGACCCAAGAAAGGAATAATGGCATTTGTTTGCTTTTACATTATTTTAATACCCGGCAATGGAAAATACAGCACTCTGACAACAGACTTAAAAATAGCATCCTGCCCGTATTGATAATATCACTGCATCTGACACATTTCTGCCAAGTTCTTAAGGTGAAGTCTCACTGGGTCAGTCCAGGTGTAATCTCACTCTGGTGGGTTGACAGCGGAAGCAAGATGAAAAATAAGAGCACATCTGAATAATAAATCACTGTTACTGGGCACCAAAATACGGAAGGGAAGTTTCCCCCATCCTCAGCAGGCTTGCCCTCTTGCATAAGGAATGAACTAGGATCTCAAACACACACACACACCTATGGATGTGTCTTGCAGGAAGCAGGCACCCTTCAATGAGAGATCTCTTCTGGACTTGTTTTGCAGCCCGTTGAAATGAATCAGATCTCGAATCTGGTAAAGCTTGTTTTTCCCTTTATTCTTGAGTGAGGAGCAAGAGATGAGGTGGAGGTGGGCCCAAGTTTATTTTTTAAATCATCTTTTCTCTTGGTTCTGCGGATAACTGCAACTGTGCCTCCTGTTCCCCCTCCCTCCCTTCCCCAGGCTCCCTCCCGGAGTACGAAAGGATCTGGAAGCCGGATTTCTTCCCCTCGGCTAAGTCTGCCCCTTCTCCCCTTCCCAGGCAGCGGCAGGCAGCAGCTGGAGCCCCAGCATCACCCGACATGCGACGCGGGCGGGCGCAGCGAGGGCGCCGAGCTGCAGCCTTTTTCCAGAGGCACCGGAGATTTAATCCTTAATTAACCGTGAGGGCGATAGCACCGAGGATTGAATTTTCAAAATAGAGCACACCCCGCTTTTTTTTTCTTTTTTTGCATTTCCCTTCCCCCCTGTCAATGGCATGGAAATAAAGAAAGAGAAGAACAAGAAGGCTCACCCACACGTGCCTGGGGACGGATGCGGACGGAGGATGCGGACGCTCGGGAGGCGGCCGTCGGGGAGCGGTCCTGCCCTGGGAGGATGCGGAGCAGCCGCGGCGCGCGGGCGGGGCCGGGGGCGGGGCCGGGGCGGGGCCTGGGGATCGCGCGGGCACAGGCGCGCTTAGCCCTGCCCACCGCCGGGCGCCCGGTGATCTAGACTGGCCTGCGCTGAGGTCGCTCAGTCTGTCCGCGGCAGCGATGACCTCCTGGAACAAGGGTAGTAGTTGCCTGGCGGCCGCCTTGCTACAAGACCAAGTGGCCATCGTCACCGGCGGGGCCACGGGTATAGGAAAGGCTATCGCGAAGGAGCTCCTGCAGTTGGGTACGTGAGCAGGCCCCTGGCCACGGCGTCAAGAGCTAGGGGTCCGTAGAGACACTGCTAGGGTCACCTGGGGTCGGGAGCCGGAGCGTGGAGTTGAAGGGCATAGGGGGCGTAGATGTGGGCCAAAGTGTAATACGGCCGCGAGAGGGCGAGAAGAGAGCGGTTCTTCCTAAAACATTGTGGAGCCACTAGTTTATAAACTGAAGGGATCACTTCGAGCCAAAGATCCTGTGCCCAAGGCAGGCAATTAGGAGATCTGTGAAAACGCGCGCTGAAATTAATTTTATGTTCATATTTGAAATTAATCCAGTCTATATATTGCCTAATCTGAGTGATTAGGAAGCATGAGAAGACTTCGTTTAACTGGAAAAGGTTGTAAACATACTGAGAGACTGTCAGCATACTGTCTTCTCACATCTCTTAATCATAACCACGGCAAGAAAATATAGTGACTATTTACCTTGACTTGGGTGACGCAAGGCCCTTCTAAACACGTAATGGAGGGAAGAAACCACAAAGGGGAAAACAGATAAATTTATCTATATGAAGATGTAAATCTTCATTGAATTAAAAAACAATATAAGTTTAAAGGCATATGGAGAAAAATATTTACAACAGAAGACAAATAGTCTTATAATATAAAGAACTCTTACAAATGAATAAAGACCCAACTTACTAATAGAAAAATAGGCTAATGATATGGACTAAGCCTTCCAAAAGAAGAACTCCAAACATGCAAGAAGTATATGAGAAAATAATCAACTTTAGTGATAATAAAATGCAAAATAGAACAATAAGATGACATTGTTTTTCTAATAAAATTTTGAAACATTTGGAAAAATGCAGATGTTGCTGAGGGAGTGAGAAGACAGGCAAGAATGTAAATTATTATGGAGGGCAATTTGGAAAATAAGATCCCAAAGCCTTTACAATGTTCATGCTCTATGACTTGGTAATTCCTTTCTTAGGGAATTACTTTTAAGGAGGTAAGCTGAGACAAGCAAATATTTGTATACCAGGATGTAGTGATATTTGCTTAGTGAAAACTGGAAATAATCTATCCATTATGAGGGTAACAGATAAATCAACAGCAATGAAATGTTATGCTGCTGTTTAAATATCCTGCTATTGAAGACTTTATGTGGAGAAATACGTACTACATATAATTGGAAAAAGCAGGAATCTATGCAAAATAGCATTCCAATTTGTTTTTTTTTTTTTTTGAGACAGAGTCTCACTCTGTTGCCCTGGCTAGAGTGAGTGCCGTGGCGTCATCCTAGCTCACAGCAACCTCAAACTCCTGGGCTCAAGATCCTTCTGCCTCAGCCTCCCGCGTAGCTGGGACTACAGGCATGCACCATCATGCCCGGCTAATTTTTTCTATATATTTTTAGTTGTCCAGATAATTTCTATTTTTTTTTTTTTCAGTAGAGACGGGGTCTCGCTTTTGCTCAGGCTGGTCTCGAACTCCTGAGCTCAGACAATCCGCCTGCCTCGGCCTCCCAGAGTGCTAGGATTACAGGCGTGAGTCACCGCGCCCGGCCTCCAATTTGTTAATGAAAAATATATATGCAGAAAAAGAATGGAAGTTTACAACATTGTTTTTTTTTTTTCCGAAAACAGTTTTAATTATGAGTGGTGAAGGAGCTCAGAGAATTTCACCTCAAAATAAGACTCCTTGGTATAAAGCGTATTTTGAATTAAAGGCCCTTAGAGATCAACTGGTGTTGGTAGGGGCTTTCCCTCTGTCTCCGTGAAGACCAGAGGGACCCATCCAGAAGAACAATTCTCTTTCCAGTATCCTTCCTGTTATCTCAATTTCTATTGCTGGAAAGAAGATCAAGAATGCAACCAGACCTGGCCCAACACATTTTAAAAATAATGCCTGTCTCTCAGGTTAATTTAATTTCCAAAGAGTATCATTTACAAGTCAATCTGCTTGCCTCATCCACTGATTCTCCCAAGTATCTATTCATCCTCCCTAGTAATGATTTATTGCCCCTCAATAGAATTACCTACATTCCTCATCTCCCCCGCTTCCCTCTAAAATGAGGTATATAAGCTTCTGGCCCCCATTGGGATATTGGGCAATCACGATGTGATTCTCCCTGTACATAAAGTAAATAAATGTCATCTCTTTCTTTTGTTAGTCTTCCTTATTGTGAGTTGATCTTTCAGTGAACCTTCCGAGGGCAAAGGGGAAGTTTTCCCTTCTCCCCAACAGTGGTTAAAATTGTCTTCGTCTTTCAATTTTAAAGTGAACATGTAAATTGCCTTTGGTATCATTGTGTTTCCAAGATCTGGCATAGTATGAACTAAAAAAAAAGGTGTTATATTAGAAAAAAAAGAAATCCTATGTATTTTTATTTAAAAAAATGGGAAATTAACATTAGCTAATTGAACCATGATATAGCCTCATCACCATTAAGCCCACTCCACTTCCAACACCAAACTCTATCCCCTCTTAGGAAAATCCATGATAAAATCAGAATTGTTTATCATTTAATACCAAGGTCAGGTACTAGGCTTCCCAGCAGATTTGTTAGGATCCTAGTTTACCTTGTAGTACTCTTAATGGGTTTTCAAATATTTCAACTTTCTTGGTTTGTTAAGTTCAAATTGGCCAAACACTGCATATCACCTAGAGTAAGGCCAAACACTGCCACCTGGAGTAAGGTGGCAGACTTTATTTTTATTATCAGAGACTGAAACAAGGACAGTGATCTTGTAATCTTTTGGAAAGCCGCGGATCCCTCTGCGATTCTGATGAAAGCAATGGAGCCTCTCCCTAGAAAAAGATGCTATATACTTAAAAAAGCAATATACATAATTTTTTTTTTGTACTGGAAATGGATTTCCCCCAGTGAAAGAATATAAAATAATTTATACTAAGACATTCTCATCTTTATTTTTTTATGCCACAATTAATGGCTATTTCCTGAAAATTGTCATATATTACTTATAGGGCAAATAAAATAATAGTAATAGTAGCCAATTCTTTGTCCAGTGAAAAGGCCAGTGTTTTTTGGTGTGAAATACAACTTGAATTTTGAGGCATGGTTTTTAAAATGGTGATTACTGTGCTGTTTTTCACATCCAAATGATTTTGACTTTTCCTTTTGCTGAGAGGACACAAAGAGCCCTAGCTCCCGGGAGTAGGATGTAGCAGACAGAATTGGATCCCCTTTGTACATTTGACAGATGACTTAAGTCGCAGGGAGTCTTGATTTCATCAAGGAATACCGAAGACCATTCAAATTGAATTCATGTGAGATCCTTTTCTTTGTCTTCTTTGTCTAATCATTCGCTTTCTGTTACTACAGCACAACGTACAGTAGATAAAATGCAAGTGGAAATTGTGAGACAAGACAGCATTTTTTCTTGCTCTAGTGACTAGTCTGTAACCAACACCAGGGACCTAGAAGGTGCTTAATAAATGTAGTGTTCTCAGCTGAATATTGGAAAGAATCACTATCAGCCCAAACAAGAATGCAACACATTGGGTTGCAACCCCCTGATGTGGAAATAACTCCTTATCCATTAGCTATTTCTGTACTTTATTCTAACCCGGTCCGTCAAGCTTCCTGAATCTCTCTCGCTACTCATATAAACAAAAACAAAATCTATGCAAATCATTTAGCATAACGGTGAAGAGAAGGATTATATCTAACAGTTTTCTAGTTTATTATGAGGTAGCTTAAGAGGTCTGTAATAAATTTAAATATTATAGAAGTATATAAAAGAAAAAATGAGCTTTTTCCATTCTACCCTTTTCCTAAATCTCCTTCCTGGCAATTTTCTATGAATCTACTAATGTACACACATATACACACATGTGTGTACTTTATTATTTACAAAAATGGGATCACAGTATTCTTACTGCTCTGTAACTTTTTTGGCTTGAGATATCTTATATTTCTCAATGGAAGTACCTGTAGTTGTTACCTCCCAACAGGGTTCATATGCCCGGTGCCCAAGAGAAAGCCAATACGCTGAGACCGCAGGGTTTACAAGGCAGAGAAAGAGTTTTATTCTGCATAGCGCTACGCAGGGAGACGGGAGAAATTTCTCAAATCTGCCTCCCTGAGAATTGGGAGAAGGGTTTTTAAAGACAGTTTGACATAGGCAATTGAGTCTGCTGATTGGCTGGGTTTGGGGCAGAACCATAGAGTCGTAGAAATTGTCTTCTTTGCTGACCAGGTTCTTAGGTGGGGGTCACAAGACCAGTTGAGTCGGTTCCTTGGTATGGGCCGCTGGTCTGGGTGGGTCAGCTGTTACACTGGAATGTGGGACCTGGAAGACATCTCAGAAACTACCCCCAGGTTTCAAAAAGATGATATTATTTACGGAGAAAGCTAAGAATGTTTGTGACGACCAGCTATGTGGCTCCAGAGTGGCAATTATAGAGAAGTAAACAGGGAGACAGTGGCTAATTGTTATCATTATTTTTAGGTAGGCCTGTGCCTTATTTTTAGCCAGGCCCTTAGCGTAGTTCTTGCCTTGCGCCCCTTTTTATTAATTTGTAAGGGTGGTTTCATGGTAGTAGCTCATTTATTTCAAAGTTGTCTAGTATTCCCTTGTATGGATAGATAATAACTTATTTAACCATTTCCTAAGGGACATTTAGGTTTCTAGTGCTTTACCCACCATTGCAGTCTTTTTCCCTATAAAAACTTTGCACCCCAGTTCAAGTTCGTATGTAGTGGAAAGTCCTAGAAATTAAAGTAAATACTCTGGTAAAGTTGTATTCTAGTATAGCTCCACTTATATTAGACAACTATCCTGAAGTCTTCAGGGTTCAGATAGTAATCAGTGATAATTTAGTAAATTGCTAGTTAGATAATCTATGTGAATCATCCTATTTATATTTCTACCATATCTTTTTTTTTTTTTTTTTTTTGAGACAGAGTCTCACTGTGTTGCCCAGGCTAGAGTGCCGTGGCGTCATCCTAGCTCACAGCAACCTCAAACTCCTGGGCTCAAGCGATCCTACTGCCTCA